AATAAATGTTGACTAGTAATCATGTACATTATATTTGTATGGTTGTATAGTTTATCTAAGATTGTTTATCAATGTGAATTATCCACTACTCATCTTGCTCTTAATGCCTTTTTAAAAAAAATCCAGATTTATAGTAAAAAGGATGCGAAGGTAAACTTTCCTTCTGGGAAAAAATGCTTTAAAAATCTTAAATGCTGCTTTATTGGTGAAATAAACAGATATGGGGAAGAAACATGGTTCTCCTGTCACATCCAGTTTGGCTCAGTAAAACTATATACTTATGAAATCAACTTGGAGTTAAAAATGAAAATTAATTTTAATAGTCAACAGTAAAAACACTTCTCTAACCTTTCCAGAGTGATATTAATATTTTAGGTTTATAGAAATCGAATCTGCTGGCTTCTTGAATCATTAGTGTTCTTTTGCATCTAGTAATGTTCAAGGCTGTTTGGAAGTTTTAGCTTTAACAAGTCAGTGTTTGCAAAGCTTGCAAAAACAGGAGGTAAGAGGGTAACATTTGCTTTGAAACAATCACTGGAGCAATTTAAAGGAATATCACAGACCTGTGACATGATTAAGTTTTCCTTTAGGTAAGGTGAAAAATAATGTAATGGTAAAACTTCTTGGCTTTTTCAGTATCTTATCTGTTTTTGGCAGGACCTGCCTTCATAGCACAGGGCTCATCAGTTTTTTTCCCCCCCAACAGCTGCAACTTCTAGTTTCCTTGGCTGGATTTGACAATGTGTAGGGTTTCTCTCTCAGCATCTTTATAGTGCTTGCATGGCCAACCTCGAGGTCTCTTCCCTGACTCTAGTACTACTAGAGAGCAACTTGTAAGGCATATAGCAGCCATCCATTTTCATGATGCATCCATCCATCCACCCCATTTCCTCCAAGTTCTGATAACCAAGGGCTGAATGCTGGCGATCCCCATGTTGGAGACATGATCTTGTCAATGCCAAGGAGGGATCAGAGAGGATCCTTGTGAAATTTCTCCAGCTGTTTGATGTGCCTTCAATGCAGAGTCCAGAATTCGGCATCCATACAGGAGAGGTGGTACCACAGCTGTGTAGACATTCAGCTCTGTGGAGGTAGAAGTGTTAGTTTTGATTGAGCATTCTTAACATGCAGCCACCCAAGTGCCTGGCTGGCCTTGCTAGTCAGTTCTTCATCTAAAGACCCATCGCTTGAGATGATGCTTCCCAGAAGCTGTTTACACTTGTCCTTCTGATCTGACACATGACCACAGGAAAGCAAAGAACAGATTGAATAGAATTCAAAGTATTCTATTTTCTAGCTGGGGTGCGGATCACTTGTGTTACTGTGTTACTTAGTGAGAACTTGTGAATGCTGTATGGATAGTTGACTGTAGGTCAGAACATACTAGATTACATATTAGCATGCTCTTAGGTTTATTAGAAAGATTAATAGTTTCTTAGTAATAATTGTATGGTCAAGATGTCCACTTAAAGTAACATTTCCTTCCACATTATGAGAAAGTTGATAATTTTTAAATGTAGTTGTCATTGATGTTTCTGTCAAAGTTTGTCAATTTTGTATGTACTGTACTTAAGAACAAACTATAGAGAAAGTGCTGAGATTTTTAAACATGTCTTATTCTCTATTTTATTTGCCTGACATACTGATATGCCAGGATGTCCCCAGCAAGCTTACCCCTTGGTAGTTTATAGCAATCATACCAATTTAATCCAAGCAGTACAATATCAAAACTAATAACAAGAATTAAAACCAGTGTCTCACTGAAAAGCAGGAAAGTTTCTTTTCAGAGTAGCACATATAACAGGCCATGAAGGATGCCATGTGTCCACTAAATGCAACCCAGTATTCTAAGTTTATAACAGTACTTGAAATTCATGGGCTTTGCTTGGTTTATTACTCTTTTAAAAAGTTCTTTCAGTTCCTCCTAATCTGATAATATCTTGCTACTACTTCCTCCAAAATATATGCTCTTATTTTAACATACTAATCTTAAGGAAGGCAGAGGAATCTGAAATGCAATAAGGACATTCAATTAAATTGTTATGGGTTTTTGTGCCTATAGAAAATGAGAAGATTAAGTTCTGATATGTTTTTATGCTTGTTGGTCAGCCATAACTTTTTTTTTTGTCTCTAAACTAATTTCCCACAGTGAGTTGTCTGAAACTACAGTTTCACCATTGGTATCTCAAATACTTAGTGTGAGGATACAACACTTGTTTTTAGCATTAGTGTAGCATTAGACAAAAGAAACATCTTGTAATAGATGCTTTAGGAAGCAAATGTAGAGTCCTGCTATTTTACCCTAAGAATACATTCAATACTTGAGACATCTGTAGAAGGCTGTAGCCTATTTTTATTAAAATTTTACATTTCATTTTCCTGATACAAATCTCAGTTTTTTTACATTTTACATTCTTAACCAGTTGAGTAGAAATTCTTGCCACATGTAAGCTGAGGTTTGTCATACAGGACTTCTCATTTTGAAAAAAGGCAGTTGAAGTTATGGAAAGCAGATGCTATTATACAGCTCTAAATAACATTAGATTTCAGGGAATACTTACGATTATAGATAAGAAGAAACTACATAGTTTTAATTCAAAGAATGCTTAAAATAGTTTAATTTTGTATACAGCAATATGAGAATTTAGGGAATTTAAACTACAAATATTATATTGCTTTCATTGAATATAAATGCTTATGCATTTATATTGTGATTGTATCTTGAATTTAAGCTTTGCTATAGATCTGTGGGACTCATAGAATGCTGCAGCCCTCCAGACAAAAGAAATAACAATATAACCTATTTTACTCTTGAAATGATGAGTTGTTCAATGTTTGACCCTAAACATTTGAAGTTCAGTATGCACAGATGCTGGCTAAAGGGAACTGTGA